AAAAAAGAAGAAGATAAAAATGGAGAAAGACAAACAACCCCTAAAAAAATCCTTCCAACGTTTCAACTAACAATAATTAGCTGTTACAGCCACATAAGCAACCGTACAGATTGGTATTTAGAAAGTTTTGACCAAGAATGCAACTAAGCAGAATCCTTGAGTGCACTTGAATCCATAATGAGTGTACTTTAAAAATATTTACATTGAAGAGATATTGATTTGTGTTTAGAAGTTCCAAAAATGCTAATAGTGGTTTCAGTATAATTTACAAGACAGTGGTTTGGTATCATAGGGACATACTATCTTGCAACTGTGCAAGGAAGTGTTGCACTAACAAGCACAAGCATTAGAACAGTGGTGGTTCATCAACTTTCTCCAAAGAATGTAACTATAAGATGGCTAGGTAATCACACCTAGGGCCCAGCTCAAGTTAGAGCTTATCTTGACAATAGCTTCTAAACCATAGTTGGTTAGAAAAGAATTTGAATTAGAAACTTCAGTGTCAAGAAATAAAATGATCAGTATATTGATAACAGATAGATGTCTTTCAAATACATTTTGATGCAATGGTGGCTGGATAATGACCCTTCTGATGGAAGTTATGCAATCTTTGCAAATCTTACTAGCTAGAAATTAGAAAGACATAAGGAAATAGATATATCTTTCAAGACATACCTCAAATAACGTCATTAGCTGATCTTTCTTCAAATCTAATTCCTTTTTTCTTCTTCTTGAATTCCCTTGAAAGTTGTCTAACTCTGATGTAATTTTATAATGAGTTTTCTCCAGGACATCTTCCAGAAATAGCTCTGTTACAGGATAAGTCATCCCCTGCCAGCACATGAAAAAGTAAACAATAATGGTAGTATTATATATATATATATATATGTGTATATGTATGTATTCTGATTTGCAATAACAGATTCTGAGATGCAGGTTCCAAGAATATGGGTTTAAATCATGAAAAATACCGGTATATGAATGGTGGGGGCACTTCCAAAGTATTTGGAGAACAAATCAGCATTTATGGTGGCACTCATCAAGATAAGACGAAAGTCTGGACGCTTAGGGAGAAGATCACGCAAAATTATTAACAGAAAATCTTCATTCATGCCTCTTTCATGAATTTCGTCCACTAGCAAATGGCTCACACCATTTAAATATGGGTCCTGAACCTGTAGTTTATCAATATGACCAAAGGGAAAGCAAGAAATGATAACAAGGTGAATATTCAAACTCATAGGCTTTAAGGGATGAGTAGAAGGAATAATCAATTAAATACATACGCAAATAAACAGAGTTTCATTCTTCATGATTGCAATTGTAAAACAAGCATGAAGAGAATATTGAGCTCAAGCTGCAATAAGCAAATGAAGCTAGAGATTCAGAGTGGAAGTATCTAGACAAATTCAAACAATGAGACACCCAAAAAGCAAACAACATACAGGAGTCAAACTGGTTGTAAGAAATAAAAGAGGGCAACAATGTTACTGTTACCAACTGTCTGAGTAATACTCCAGTTGTGCAAAACAGAAGGCGTGTTTGAGCAGAGCGCCTAGATTCGAGGCGAATCTGATAACCAACAGTTTCACCCAGACTTTCTCCCCTTTCAGAGGATATTCGAGCTGCAACAGATAAGGCAGATATTCGACGGGGTTGCGTGCATATTATGCTGCAATCAGCTCCACACAAAGATGATATTTCCTCTTCCAAAATAAATTGAGGAAGCTGTGTTGTTTTACCACAGCCCGTTTCTCCTGAAACTACCAAAACCTGTATAGTTGAACAAAGATAATGGAAATCAGTCCACCTAGTTAAGTGCGTAATTAGTGCATAAATTATGGAAATAATAGAAATTATTGATTTTAATAATAGCAGAAAATATTGATTTCATCATAAGACGAAATCTTGTAAGCTGGAGACAGAAAAAAGACATTTCTTAGGCAACTAATTAACTTTTAAAATTGATTGTCTGTGG